ATGGTTGATGGACAATTAGGATATCCTCGTCAGCTCCACGGTATCAGACGAATTAGAACTCATTTCTGTGGGTAAAGTGGGACCCCCTCCAGACATGATTATTACGCGTTATTCTATACTAATTTATATTTTGAAAATTCAATTTTATTCATTCTACCCACCCATGAGATTGGAGGGAGAAAACCAAAGTCATTTTTGTTTTTCATTCCTCCATTTGTTTAATTATTTGTATAAGTTTTAGACACATTCGATTTAAATAAAAATTATTTTTTTAATAAATTTTGATAAAAAATTAATGAAACATGTCGTAAAATAATTGATAGAAGTTGTGAGTTCGATTAAATACGTGATTGAAAATGAGTTTGGAAATAAATAAATTTCAAGAGCATGTTTGAGAGTGATTAAAATCCAATTAAAATTGAAAATATAGTCGTTATTGGGTCTGACTCATCTAATAAAAGTCAACAATAATTGTTAATTTTTCAATTTTAATCCGATTTTAATCTCTACCGAACACCTCCTAAGATATGCAGGTTAAACGAGGGTTAGTCAATGTCTTGGTGTATCTACTACATAAAGTTGGATTGTGTTTCGATTTATTAATGTCAATATAAATCGATGCCATAAATCAAAGATGAAGCTCATGTTTGGTTCCATTAAAATTATAATTTATTTTTCTGTTTCTTTTCATTAATCACACATTTGTCAATAAAATTATATTACACGTAAATTCAAAATTTTTTCTTTTTTTTTTAACAACACATTTCTTCCAAAAAAATTACTATTTCAAAAATTAGAATAGCAAATAATTGAGGCCAAACATGGGCTCCGACCAATAATCGAAAAAATTTAAATAGTATTACCACGTCAATCTTTGAACATTTCACACCTAAGAAATATTCAACTCCCGGAAAAGTCCAATTATTATACTAATCCTAGATTATATGATGACATTTTGGACTAACCCTAAATCTGCTCGAGAAACTCTTCAGCCGCCACCATTCAAGTCAGCAAAAGTTCAATTCAAAATTCGAAGCGTCATAGTTCATATTATGG